TAAATGCTTGTTTGATCAGTACTGATAATCAGTCGCCTAGATAGCCAAAGTAAGTTCCAGATGTTTACACTATTTTCCGGCTGCCATATTGGTGTACCATGGAGGTACACCAACATGGTGTTTTCATACTGGGCTCTGTAAATATCAGCGAAACATTTCGACGAATATCTGAAGTTTGGGGAAACGCACAGGCCTAAAACTTGGAGAAGTGGCTTATTTAGTTATCTTCTATGACATCATAATTTCATAGCTTTTTCCACTGGATGGTTTTCGATTTATTTTTTTATTGCATGACAGTGAAAATGATCTATACCGTATCTGGAGTTGTCTAATTCAGGTGTATGGTACCTTTTGGTCACAATTCAGATAAAAAAGTGTACCTAATTCTTCCTGAAATCTGGGTATTTGGCATGTAGACGTGAATTAAGTGTATAAGATAATTTTAGGTATATAGTACTCATAAAATGTTTCACAATTTTGAGGTGTATTGTGCACTCCCAGAAAATATCCATACCTCCCCTACAAAAGGATTTTCTCTAAGACCTCACCACCCCCTCTGGAAATTCCAATTAAGCTTCATACATTTCTTTCAATTTTTTGATCTTACTGAACCCCCCATCCTCCAGGAAATTCCAATCCCTTCTGTTGGGGGAGTATGGATATTTTCTGGAACTGCACATTGTCACAGAGACATTTTTACGTGACGTAGTTTACTGCCCTGTAATAGGTGATTCTACTCAGAGAGCTGTACATAAAGTCTATGCTGGCCTTTATGACCCATATTGCCAACTTATTCAAGTTTCTTAACAGCATTAACACAGTATTGCAAGGTTACCCTCAACATTACTTGTCCAACAACACAACTCACTAATCCCAGCCTGGGCTCAAACCAGGATCACTTGATCTACAGTGGTCCAACACACAAACAATTAAGCCAACCACACCATACCTGATGATTCCATACTCATCAAAGTATCCTCCCCTGCCATAAGTTCCAATTGGTTCTTTGAATGTTATTATAACACTTTTGATGCTCTCCCGACACCACACTGGACCAAAGATTCTGTTACCAAACCTATTGAGCAGCAAATTAAAAATCTCATTTAATTGGTTGACACGTTCCCTAACCACAACAACATTACAATTTTTAATGCCAAACTTCAGCCTGTAGGTTCTTAAATCACTAGGTTATTATCTGCAGGTTTTTTCTATATCCAAAATAGGGGAAAATGTTTAACTGAGGCATGTTAGTTATTGAGAATTAGTTATTCAAAAATTAAGTAAAAATTGCCCAGTCATTAGTAAACAAGTCGTGGTCATCCTTTTCATTTAACAGATTACCACAGCAACAGTGTAGTCTGTCAAAATGCCTAATTTTAGCTTCAAGTGCTTGGTACTCAAACGCTATTAGTTGTAGTCTTTGCATGACAAGAGGTTGATACATCCAACACATTTGCACTCTGATTGGCTAAAATATGCATGTTAAAAAAGATTTTGTTGACTGGCTATGGTAAGGCACATCACAATAAATATTGCAACTGAAATTGCACCTTTAAATGATCTGAATAATAAAAGGCCTAAACCAATTTTAAGCAATTTTAAACAATATGCTCTCACCGTAGAACCATAAGATTCTGCACCATTTCCTTGCCAAGGTAATGATCTATACGATACATGGAATCCTCTGGAAACAGTGATGCCAGATGATTGGACAATTCAGCAGAGCTGTCTGAGTCCTTTCCAAATGGCTTTTCTATAACCATTCTGTTCCATCCCCTATACAAAACATTAATCAAGACATTGTAGGTTACACTTTTCACACATCTGGCTAGTGACTACATTTAAAGGTAAGTCTATGTTGGGTCCGAGTGGTGCATACTGCTAGTCAGCATATCCAGGTTTCCTTATCATTAAACAACTAGCTGGGAAAATCTTCACTCCCCCTTGGATAGGATGCCATTCCTTTACAGGGTGACCCCAGCCAGGGCTTGAACCCAGACTGCTTCATCCAGACAGGGTCTGGCACACTAACTACTAGGTCAATTCCCACTAACCACCAGGTAAGTAGTTGAAATACAATGCACCGCAGAATATTTTTAGCCATATTCAAGGTTTTTGGTCAGCAGTAAAACATGCCTCAAGTTTTTTTCCTTGGTAATTAAGCGGAACTTTGCAGGATCTTAAAAGATCTTTGATGACCCTTGAAAACCATCCAGAGATCCTTAACAATATTTGTAAGATCATCAAAGATATGTGCTACAATGAGAACCTTACAACATTAACTTAGCAAATATTCAAGTAAAGGCCTATACCGGAATCAAGGTTCTCAAGGATTTGACAGAGGATCTCAATATATACCAGGATCTTGCAAAAATTCCTAACAGGATCTTGCAATATCCTTAGGATTATTGGAAGGTTCTTGAGAATCATACTTCAAATATTCAAGGTACATCAAAAATATGTGCAAGATGCTCCAAGACCTTTGAGGTTAAATTTTGGCAAGGGCATCCTATGGGATTGTCAAGAAGAACCTAAAGATCCACAAGGATCTTTCAAAAAATGTTACCGGGAAGATAGCTACACAAAATAAACATCAGACTCACTCGACAGCTCGATCGATACTCAGTTGACACTAGACTGACACTTGATTGAGGTCTAAATCAACACTCAATTAGCACTCAATTGACACTTGATCAACAGTCCATCAATAGTCGCCTGAGTGTTGACCAACTCCTATGTATTGATTGACACTCGAAGGTGTGTCTCTGAAAATCGATTGAAGGTTGATTAAGTGTCGATTGAAGGTTGATTAAGTGTCGATCAAGTGTTGATCGAGGGTCGATCAAGGGTATCGATCAACACTCAACTGCAGATGACTTTAGTATACATGATCCAATCCATCTAATCATAATCACCATTGTAGTATACATTACTTCTATTCAAACCTATTCATTACTGCTGACTGAATCACTGACAGACATCAGTGACGTGACATTCTGTATATTGAACAAATAATTTATGAATAAAGGTGATGACATACTTTGAGCCCATGCAGTGCTGTTTGATGTTCTCAGAGGCATCCATGAAAACAGAAGGAGGAAGTGCAAGATAAAACAGCCTGTGAACAACATCCTTTCCTTCTCCTAGTTTCTCAAGTTCTGCGTTCAGCTTTATAAAGCCTGATGCTTCATTGTAAGGGCCTTTAACATAATAGCAAAGCTTGAAAAATTCTGATACTTGAGCCTTTTGATCACCTTTCAGCTAAAAAATAAGGTAACAAACATTATGTAAATTGTCTTAGTATAAGGCAAGAGTGCCAGGACTAACATTCCCAGGCAGAGGGGTAAAAAGAGGGGGGGTAGGGTGGTGACAACTATAGTGGGATGGGCTTTCTGTTTTCCTTGCTTAAAAAAAAGAGTTGACCTTAGGTTGCCACTACAGATCTGCTTGGTTAAAAGTTCCATATAAATACAGTGTAATTTAGTGCATAATCATAGAACTAACCTTTACAGTGTCATAGGAGAACACAGTCCCCAGCTTTGCAAGTTCACCCCTTTGATCTATAATTAGTTGTGCCAGAAAAAGAGAACCCTACTCTTTCCACCAAAGGTTATTTGGTTTGGAACTGGTCCTAAATATTAACATAATGGTAAATATTGACACTTACCTTCATGAAAGGTTCAACTTTGGCTCTTAGTTTGTCGACTGTCAAATCTGAGCGAGCATAGCCAATGATCTTGGTGTTTTTTGGTATGAGTTCATCTTTATATAAATACCTAGTCAATGGAAAGATATCTTCAAGAATGGATGCACGTGATCCTGATGAGATTGAATGCAATGAAATCAAGCTGAAGTACAGCTTGGATTCACATAATACATTACATGGTATTGGAACAAACATTTCAAATATGCAGTAACTTCACAAAGCCTAAAACATGTAAAACTCATAGTTTGTTGACATGACACTAACTCAAAAACTCTTAAGAGCTATGGGAATAGCTACAGTTGTTACATATATCTTATGTTAACAGAACCATTCATGAAACCTTTGATGTCTGTTTCTAATTGATAATTTCCAACTATTTCCAGCTGAAAACAAATTGATGCATTTTTGAAAATGACAACTCACAGACACAAAGCAATGGCACAAATGATTAGACAATATCTAAAAAAAAACACTTGTTCAATAAGCTCTTATGCAAATTTCCCAAGACGATTGTGTGACATTTGTTACAATTAGTAATTTGACACATTATTCAAAGACATAACCTAAATAAAACTCTATACATAATGCTTACCATAAAGTAGGATAAATCTTTTTCTTTGCAAGATCTCCCTAAAATGATGGATTGCAAATGTTAAACAAAATATTATCCAGCGATAATTGAAAGTGCTGTCATACAGTACCATAGCAAATTTCTCACGTAATTTAAACACAGTTTAATTAAAAAGAACTAAACTAAATTAGGACAAGGTTATGCAAATTTAGAAAAATCTCGCGTCTTCAAAGCTAGCTGACAACTTCTATGTAGTTGCAAATAAACATTTTAGGGTTGCCGATGTATTAATAGCAATATTCCATGTCTGATTTGAAGGACAACATCAACTGACTTGTCTGTGCTCGTGATCGAAAAGAAACCCACTTCATCTTGTACAATGTGTACAATATTACTCCAAGATGTAAGCCTATTAATTTAGCTAGAAAGCATATAGCCACGAGTGAAAACAACGCGTGAATCGGGCAGCAATTGGATATAAACTGAGGTGATCTATTAGCTAATGTAATATTTTGCAAGCTAACCAAGCGAAAGTTATATATGCATACAAAATCTGCGTAAATGTCAAAGCTGTCACTTACCGAAGCACCAAAAACAACGAATAAAGTTTGTTCTTTTGTGTTCTGTGTCATCACCGCTGAATTGTCGTCTATACCTGAGAAATAAATTGTAAAGATCACTGCCCGATTGGTAACAGCTAGCCTTGCTGCAGCCCCGGGAAATCCCTGCAAGCACCTATCGTGTTTACGAAATACAGCGCCATAAATAGCATGCGCAAAGGTCTTTTCCATTTGGCCACGTGACGCTGAGCAGAGGGAAAAAAACGAGTTCCATGAAATGGAAAAAATAGACCAATATCGATATGTCAAAATTCAGCCTAACACAATAGCCCTCAGCACGAGGCTCTGGGAATAAACCCCACAAACTCTGTAGTTATTCCCCAGGTCTACTGTTTTAGGCTTAATTTTAATCTATCGAAATTGGTCTATTTACACATTGTAAAAAATAAAAATCAAACACCACACATATAGCTAATCATAGAAGATTCACACGATTTTCAAAAATTAGACTTATTTCGCATCAGTCATTTTGTAAAGCAAATAAAAGGAATCAAAACGAGGATTAGGCTGGGAGCAGGCGAAGGTAAACAAACGCAACCAATATTGTCGACCCGTTGTCAGGACCGAATCATTTGTCACTTGCTCGATAGTCTATGAACCTTAATCACGCTATATTAATCTATGATTGTAAATTTAGGAAAAAGATGAACATTGCGTATTAAATCCTCACCGTTTGCTTGTAAATTTTGAAAAAGGTATTTCTCTTTTGGAGTTCGACATGGACAGAATAATCGTAAAGAATAGCCGAACACCAAAAAAGAGAAAATGAGACAGACATCTGGGGGAAATGTTCCTTATTCGTACTTAATTTCGCGCGTCTTTAATTTCACGATTTTTGCGATTGTAATAAAACGCCTCAAGAATTATTTACACACATGAAATTAAACACCATGGTAAGAAATGTGAATCGCAAGAAACTTGATAAACATGATCGACCACAACATATACAGTTTATGTATCGACATAAATATTAACTTTTTTATTCAGTCACTGGTAAGCTCCATTTAACATCTTGTCTTGTGATTTCACATGAATAAATCGAGCGGAGAATCTAACTATCATCTTCCTCTGAATCACTGAGCAAATCCCTTACAGTGTCTTTCGTGCAGTCGTCAAAATTTGAAGTTCAGATTTTTTGGAAAATTAAAATGATGTTGACAAGGCCTGACAACGCTTTCGGTAAATTTACTGCCCTTTTTCCATTTTCCCCTATCGAAATCGCGGAAAAAAACGCCTCGCGAAATACTTTCTCGCCAAAATCGCAAAATTCTAAGGTTCGCACGAAATTGCGAATAAAGGTATTACGCTCAGTCAAATTCGAGCATTCAAGTCGCATTCACGAGCGGCAAAGACTAAGACTTTCGCAGTTTAAACAAAGAAAGTCTTGTAAAACCGCCGCGATTGGAAATAATATTTTTTCCTTCCCAATTACAAGTTACACTAAGCCTGTCAATCTGTAATCCCAGCTGACTCACCAAACCAGGGATCTGCCTGATCTGCAACACTTTAATAGCTCTGTTGTGATTCGTTCTTGTTTTGTGCTCTCTCTCTATCGTTACGGCTATAAAGAACCTCGTAAGGTCGCCCCCAGAGATCAACTCCAGCTGGTTTCCATGGGGCAACTCGAACAATACACTCCCTTTACACAAAATGTACCTCCCCATTTCGTCCCTACCCCACCATTAGTTAACCTCGCCTCTCAACACTGCTTCTCTTTCAGTGTCGTTAAGCTGTATATTTGTCCAATTTATACAAATTTTGTCCAATTTATACAGCAATATTTAAAAAATCCTAGTTGGGTTTCAAACTGGACGTTTATAAGTTCAATCACCGACGATTATGTTTTTAGAAACTTCCCGACAGATTAATGGACCCTTGTCAGTTTATATACGGTTGTCTCAAAGCATCGTTCTACCCACCCCACCCCCTCAAGCTAATTTATGTCCGTGTCAACCAAACGGAACTCAAGTTGTGATCAGTATTTGCAAAAGTTTCGACCTCAAATTTTGACCATCCATATTCCTTAACAGGTTCAAAGGAGTTTCACACGTGTTGTTTTCCATCATTTCCTGGTTAATTTGAGTTGTTATTTACTAAGACCATTTAGATGACCGACAAAGAATTGCCTCTATAAAGATCCTCGCTAGTCACTGTGGCCCTTTTTACGCAAGAGATGTATAATTTGTCCAGAGCAAACACACGAGACAAACAAGCAGATGCACCGGCCAAGCACTCAGCTAGTCGCTCCAGTAAGTGTGGACAGGAGGAAGACTTAAAGTGCCCAGTTTAAATGGTGCAAAAGCAAACTGTGGCCGTCTTTGACTAACACGCATACCCACAACTGTCTGATCCAAATTAGTCCCTTGGTTCGTCGCTCAAGACGTACTATTCGTCTTCACGTATAATCAGGGTTGCGTGTTGTTCTTTACACTCAGACGCAGATCCAGCAGAAGGAATGCTGTTCTGGCTTCGCCAATCCTTACCAACACATCCCTTTACCAGCCTAGGGAACGTGACAACCTTGCGAGTTAAACAGAAATTTTCGTAAATTTCTGACCGGAAATTTCCGTCCCAATTGACTTTCCTCCCGGAAGTTTTGGTTGAACGGTTCGCTTTTCGGAAATTCAACAATTTCCGGATTTTCTGGAACCTTTCCGAGTAAATTTCCGGACCATTTGTCCTCTTTCTTTATTTTCTTTATTACAATTTAATGGCAAAATATGTAAAATACAGGTATATAAATATGAAATTCAAACTTTTTCGAAATTTTCGGAATTTTTGGTTGAATGGAAAGCGCCAAAAGATGCAAGCTTCCTTTCCATCCCACAAACCCTTAATTCACTGTTACTACTCATGCGCAGAAAATCATAACCGCGTGATAAACAACCAAAGATTGGCCCGGTGCGCCAGAGACCAGACATGTACTCACTCTTGTGTCGTGAGTGACTTGCTTTCCAATACTCCTGCAAATCTAATATAACTGGAAAGACCTTGAAGACATTTGTACAAGTTGCTCCACCTGGCGACACAAGACGCAACCCAGGATAAAATGCCGGTGCATTCATACAGTTCGTATTCAAGATGGTGGACGATACAAGCTCAGCAAACATATATAAAGCCTGCAGAACTGGTCACGATCGTGTATCGCGTTTCACGCTCTGCCCCGCAAGTCCGCCAGTTCTGCAGTCTAACATACTTACGTGTGAACGAGAGGACTATCGGGGAAAGGCAAACACAAGGGCCAGAGAGAATGTGAAGCTATTTCATTGAGCTCGCGCACAAGCCGCGTTCACACTGATGCATCAAGTTTGCGCTTGCCGTCGCATATGTGAACCAGCCTTTCCTGAAAAGGCTGGTTCGAAATTGTGTTATTTAAATTGCAAATTAATCTTCACGAAATCAACTGAAATTTGCATTCCTCATTTACAATAATAATCCTTTGTTTTTAGCTGCCAGTCTTTCAACAATGATATTGGCTCTTGAAGTATTTTTTCCTTGTTGCAGCACGAGATCGTTTGCCGCATGAATATTTCTCATGATAAATAACAATTTTATCGTACTGGCAACGATACGAAAAGAAAAATCGTGTCTGAAATCCAGCCAGAATGAAGTTCAATCGCTTATAAGTGATTCCTCCCAAGATTTTAATTTATAAATGAAAAGTCTGGAAAATGCAAATGCACGCGACAAAACCTAACATGTAAATGTCCCTCAAACCAATGAACTAAGAGTTGCAATTTTGGCCGATTCTTGGTTGCATTAAAGAACATTAACCCTTAGATGTTACAAAAAGTTAGCACCTGGAACTCTGGAAGTTAGTTCGGATTTACTGACTAATATAACTTTTTCACAAATACCACTGCAATTTAGCATCATAAACTCAAATAGGAAAGTTAACAGATCTTCCCAGAACCTCACATAAGCGACGTTTGTTGAATGTAACAATTTCGAGAAGAATCTCGATCTACACAATGACAGAGGTATCTGTATCACTGGAAGATATATAAGATCATGTAAGGCAGAGCACAGACCGTTTTCACATCGTTGAAAATCGCTGAATCATGAATGCACGGCCCGATTAAAGAATGACTGCCAGCAAATGGACTGGATTCAAGTGGCTTTATATTCCGTTTCTAGAGCAATGTCACATTGACAGGGCAATAGAAAAATATATCTCAGTTATTCTCCCTGCAAGCCCTGCAGGTGCCCAGACTGAAATGTCACATTGCTTCCCGTCTGTGTACCTGTGTCGGTGAACCGGGAGTGTTTCCTGCCGTACAATGTATTCGACCTTCTCGACAGGCTGTCGAAATTTGCGAGCAAACCTTTTGGAATATTACGACACCCAGTCAGCGAATTGGGCTAAAAAATAACTCTGCAAGCAAGCAAGCTTAGGGCAGAAACCAGCAAGAATCACACACATGCGGATCACTTGACCAAAACAGAGAACTACGGGAGAAGAGCGTCACGCAATGCGAACTGTCGATAAAACATTGAGTATTGAAAATGAGAATTCATTCTGGATAACGTCAACAATAAATATACGCGGCTACACCACGATAACAAACTTGAAGCTTATGAAATTGAACATTACAAGCTAGTGATACAATTTATCAATTACGCTAATTGAATAAGTTTAATGAGTTAATGACATGCAAACACACGTTTTACTTCAAGCAAAGGGTTCTGTTAACGGTAAACTCACTTTTTTGTGATGTAAATCCTCCTAGACGACAAAGGTCAAAATTGTACCTTTTCTCGGACTTGGGTTTCGACCCTAATTTAAAGTTCCAAGAGCTATCAGGTTTCTGCGCCATCTTGAACCTCTTTCAACTGGATAATCTGAACAGTTATTTACCCATGCGTCTTTGCAGTGCAATAAATGAAGAGAGTCGACTGGGAAC